AATGACAAATTAAAGTCGCAATTTCAGAATATTCTGCGAGGCGTCGTATTAGATAAATCTTTAGTAGCCTTAAAGAACATAAAAGGCACAATACCTTGACTAGAATACACAATTATATAACCTCTACTACTACTACCACCACCATTACCTGCATTACGTCGACCATTAATTATTTAAAATTACTTCTACACTTCTTTCTTCCTCTCTCTGTCCCGTCCCTGTTCCCCTCTCCTATGTATACTGGCTCCCTCACCTTGGCGTGTTAATGTGACTAGTCAGTGGTCAAAGTCGGACCGAAACGACGTCATAATCTTATGCCTGGGTTATTTATATTTTTCTAGCCTTTTTAGTTTGCCTGTGGTTTATTCCGATAAAGGGGATCACAGCCCTCGAGACCCAGTCCCAAACCCGGCATCTTGGTTGATGGCCTTGACTATTATTGAGATAGTTATTTAAGAAAGTATCCACCCGCCTCCACACAAGTCTAAAGAAGAGTAACTCTAGGGCTTTCACTTCTTCCACAATAAACACTTGAGAAAGTCTTCAATCATGCTAAATTGGAGCCACAAATACGGGACGTTTCAAACTGTTTCAAAGCAAATAATCTTCTTCAGCCGTCCTACATTTCACTACTTATAACTTAAATCATTCAACAAGTATCCCAAGTCGTCAATGTATTTCTTTTTAAACTAAAGCAGAAAACTGCCTTATGCCTCCCTGGTTATGTTACTTCAAAGAGGATTCTAGGAACCATGGACCCTGCGGCCCCTAACTAGGCCTCCTGTTGACAGTCTAATGTTCTCCAGTCATGTAGATGAATGGTTCACAGAACCGACACGTTGATAAATTAGACATGTGCAACTCTTGGGTATCTTTATTGAGGAAACGTTTCGCCACACAGTGGCTTCATCAGTCCATACACAGGAGAAGCTAGAAGAACAGGAGGAGAATGAGGTAATCAGTCCCTCAGCCTTGAGTGGACTGATCACATCGACTCAAGGCTGAGGGACTGATTACCTCATTCTCCTCCTGTTCTTCTAGCTTCTCCTGTGTATGGGCTGATGAAGCCACTGTGTGGCGAAACGTTTCCTCAATAAAGATACCCAAGAGTTGCACATATGTCTAATTTATCATCTCCAGTCATGGGCCAGGCTCGTCTAGTGATTACCTAGTCAACTAAGCTGTTATTGGTGGAAGCGGCCCACCGCCCCACATATCCATCACAGTCTGGTTGATCTGGCACTTTTCGAAGACTTCTATACTTGTCTCAGCAGTATTTCCGATATCTTCTGGCAGTTTTGAAATTTGAAGTATCCTGGAAAATGACTTTGGGTATGTTAACGCTAATTTAAATAAAAGTATAACCGGAAAATATCAAATTTAGATACATAAGAATACTGCACAATAACCCAATGAAAAAGCAGTGGACAAATGAGTACACAAAACGATAACTCAATAAATCTCGACGAACACGATTTTTCAACAGCTTCCCGTTCATACACGACTGGAATTGCCGAGCTGTGGTGCCTACGCTGGACTGCATGCTGCTAGCAGCAATAACCTGATTGCTCAGGTCATCAATCAAAAAGTCTGGTCTGGGACAGGGTCACATGCGGGATTACACACACTACAAACAGGTAGACTTTCACGAGAGACTGCAATAAGTACAATACACTATATGTACCTCTGACGAGTCCCCAGAGTTCTTCCATTCCCGGAGCCTGGCCATGCGCCAGGCTCGTCCGGTGGTTTCATAATTAAATATGGTTCCATCGCCTGAAATATCTCCCAAGTAATCTTAAAGAATCAAAGAAGAAAATTGCCACCAGTTTCATTTTTTTAATTGTGGCACGTCAAGAACACAAAGGTGTGATCTGAATTACTACCTGGATAAAGCAAGAGGAGAAAACCATAGTGCAGCTTCACTCACACTTCGTATTATTATTATTATTATAATCAAGGGGGAAGCGCTAAACCCGGAGGATTATACAGCGCCTGGGGGGGGGGATGTGGAAGGCATTCAGGCTTAATTCGGGGAACTGGAGCACAGATCCAATTCCCTAAATCAAGAGCCCCTCACCAACATCAAGGAACCTTCCTTGAGGGGTCACACTTCGTAAAATACTGGGCTGAGCTCAGCCCCATTATATCCCCCCACCACCCGCTATTAATGTAGATTAAACTGTTGTGCTAAGAGTAACAAATATTTAATACAAGGGAAAAAAAATTGCAAAATACCTTTGATATACCTTTGAAGTTTCGAGAGTTTCTCTACTCTCTGAGCTCGGCCATGGGCCAGGCTCGTCTGGTGCTTGCCTGGTCAACCAGGCTGTTGCTGCCGGAGGCCCGCTGCCCCACATATCCATCACAGCCTGGTTGATCTGGCACCTGGTGAAGATACTTGTCCAGTTTCCTCTTGAAAGCTAACTTTATTTTCTTTTTAATCGCAGGTGTTTTCCAAGTATGTAGAGTGATTCAGAAGAGAATAATACTTTATAACAGGTCCCCGGGGGAAGGGGGGGTTGGGGGGAGGTCAACAACCGCCGTGACCTGGTCTCAAACCAGGCCCATTTACAGATGACCTAATCAGTCAGTCAACCTATTTTTGCTAGCAGTACCCAGTTACAGCACCAAAGTCTGGTTCATCAGAAGAACCATATTCCTTGCAGATGGAGGGTGCTAAAATTCTTTTACCCTTTACACTTCCTGAGCTCTCTCTTGACGTCACTAAGTTGGAATATTGCGGGATAACACCACCAAGGCGGGTGACATCGTAGACCTGGAGAGCGTACACAGAACCTTCACTGTTCCTATAAATTCAGTTAAACACATGGATTATTTTGAACATTTTAAGTCCCCTAGACTGTATTCTTTGAACAAAGGAAAGAAAGATGAATCGATCTACACCTGGAAAATTCTGGGAAAGGAAGGATTGGGGGGGGGGGGCGATGATCTCAAACCTGCACACGAAAATCCCTTCAAATGAAATCAATACGTTTGGCAGACGGTGCAAAATATCACTAATAAAATACATTCAATGAAAAGCAGGAGCATGATGGACACACTAAGAGAACTAAAAAAGTGACCAAGTCGGACCGAAACGTCGTCGTAAGCTTCTCTCTTTTATGTGCGGGTTATTTGTGTATCGTTCCAGCCACGGTATTGTGCCTTTTTTGTTATTCCTAGCTATACTGAAGAGGGAATTTGGCTAATTCCTCTAGTCAGCTCCTGATCAGCCGGGTTGTGTTACATGTGTTAGTCTGTGTGCCCCTTGTACCAACAGCCTGCTCGGACCCAGCATGGGCTGGGTCCGACCCGCGGGGGTGGTGACCCCCTGAACCCGACTAGGTGGTGGTGGTGGTGGTGGTGGGGAAGGCGAGAGAGCTGCTGGAGAATGTCAGAGAGCTTCAACAATGGTGTAGTGGAGGTAGTGTGCGTCTCCCACACAACCCCTTTAATCAGTGATAAATAAGGTGCGAGAGCTCGCTCTACCCTCACCAACAATCGGCCCTCACTACAACTCTCACCATTCTTTCATTACTAGTACACCTCTCCGTCCAATGTAAATACGGTACAAAATTACAAAACATGAAGTTGCTACCATCTCGTGTAAACATTGCTGGAAATGACAGCATCCCCAATAGGAACACAACACAAAAGACCCGCTGGACAAATTCATCGTTTCACCAATTAGCAACGTGACTTCTAACGTGTCGTTGTTAATGACGGACAATCGTAGGAAATTAGCCATCAACACCTCGACCTTCAAATAGTGAGAAATACCCACAAATACAGATATCACTACAAAGATTGGCTACACATTATACCTTGCGAAGATTAAAGCTTTTTTATATTTATTAATAAGCTCTCTTTCTCTTTGTACTACTGCATTCATGTTTTTCACATTGGCTGTACTTAGCACAGTCTGCTGAGACTTCCGTAACTGTTCCTACTACCTTGTTTACAGTTATCTTCAAAACTTCATGTCTTACCACAAGCCTCCTCTCTCTCATTACTATGCGACATCCCTCCTAGAATACTGCATGCCTTATCACTTCTTTAATAGCCTCCAGTAGCGCTAACATGTCTCAATTTCAGATATGCTATCTCACATTCCCCGTGATATATTTGGTACCTGTCTGGTATTTGCTTTGTGTAGATTAAGGGGAAGGACATAATTCCCTAATCCCAGTTTGGAAGAGATTGAGAAGGAGCATCTCAAAGTAAATGGCGTGCAGGGGTTGCGTTTCGGGAGATGGGTGAGGAATGGAGAAGTAAAAGGTTGCGACAGAACTGTGGGTAGTTTTTGAGGGACTGTGGGGCTGGGGGGTGGGTTGTGGGGCTGGGGAAAGGGTTGTGGGACTGGGGAGAGGGCTGTGGGGCTGGGGAGAGGGCTGTGGGGCTGGGGAGAGGGCTGTGGGGCTGGGGAGGGTTGTGGGGCTGGGGAGAGGGTTGTGGGGCTGGGGAGAGGGTTGTGGGGCTGGGGAGAGGGTTGTGGGGCTGAGGACAGGGTTGTAAGGCAGCGATGGCGTGGCAACAAACGTTCATAATAACCTTAGGACTATAACTATTCCAGGCAGTCTTTCTGCTTATCTTAAGCACAACTTTACCATATCAGGAAATTTTCACTGAATTCTCCAGTAACATTATGACTACGGCAACACTAGGGGAATAACTCCAACAGACAATTTATGTTAGGTAAATAGATACAGATGCATCTAATGTGACATTTCATTGAGGCAAGGTTTCGCTCTCCAGGAGCTTTGTCAAGCCGTTACTTGACAAAGCCTCTTGGAGAGCGAAACCTTGCCACAATAAAGTTACACATTTATTGTATCTGTGTCCATCTACCCAACATTTCGTCGGTAATTCTACCATTATTACTAAATACGCAATTTAGTTTTTTTTTTTTTAAATTCCGCTCTCACCGTGACTACATAAATATCTTTTATCTCAAGGTGGCAAAGCAGCAATTAATGTGACCATATCAAGAAGTTTACCTTGCAACATGGACCTGTAGGCACAGTCTGTGATGGCGAAGACATGCGGTGGCATCTCGTGTCGCTTCTTGCCTTTATACATCTCTATCACCTTTTCTGTGTAGATTGGAAGCCGTCTGTAGGGGTTCACCACCACGCAGAACAGCCCGGAGTAAGTCTATAAGAGAAAAAAAGAATAATATTACAAATTATAAACAACAGTTAACCGAGCAAATATTAATACAGTGTGTGTGTGTGTGTGTGTGTGTGTGTGTGTGTGTGTGTGTGTGTGTGTTTGATTGATTGATTTTGGCTTAAATAGCAACGCTCTTCTTGGTGAATAAGGCAAGCGAAAATTTGTGTATGCAATAATTTCGCAAAAATTATTCTGAACCTAACGAAAAAAAATATATTTCAACGTTTATTACTAAATTACCTAAAATATATTTAGGCTAAATTAAATTGTGCTCGTTATAATAAGGTTAGGTAAGTTTTCTAAGGTTCTTCTGGTTCAAAATGATTAATTTTTACATTAAGTGAAAAAACTATCTTTAAACGTGGAAGAGAAAATTTCAGAAAGGACTTAATTTTAAATGAGTTCTTGCTGACCAGTTTTACCTATTCGGCACGACATTATGTTATTAGCAGCATTTTTTTTTGGGGGGGGGGGGAGGAAACTGAATTCTATCAGTCAAGCATACTTCGAGCCCGAGTATCGGGAGAGCAGTTAATTATCAGCATATATACATGTGCATCTACCTTGGCTAATACTCATCTCCAATACACCAGGGAGGAAGGAGGGGCAACTGCCAGCTTCAGGGAGTCCCAGAAGTCTAGAAAATATGGAGAACTTGCCCATCACTATATGTTTGTTCCCATAGGCTCAGAGACCCTTGGCTCATGGGGAAAGAATGCATAAGGAGCTGGGAAAAAGACTCATCAGGGTAACTAGGGATCCCAGGGCAGCTAGTTTTCTGTTCCAGCGGCTCAGTGCGGCTGTTCAAAGGGGTAATGCCTGCTGTATTTTGGGCACACGCACCAGCTCTGAGGAGCTGGATGAGATTTTCGCCTTATAATCGGGGATACACACGTAACATGTACCGTATATGCCACCTTTATATCAACAATGTATCTCTTAAATCTTCTGTACCATATTATGTAATAAAATATCCCTATTAAAAAAAAAAGAATGAAAAGATGGGGTGGTAGGGGAAATGGAATATTCAAACGGCTTCAGGAAGAAATCCAAATATTCTTCCTTGAAGCCTTTTTATCCACTTCTCCGAGGCTATGGGTCCCACAATTTACACCAGAGATGGACCCCATCAGAACAGAGTATACTACTGACTCCGGCCATACAATAGAGCGGAAAAATAATGTAAGGGACCTGGGAGTAGTAATGTCCGAGGATCTCACTTTCAAGGATCACAACAGTGCCACGATCGCACGTGCAAAGAAAATGATAGGATGGATAATGAGAACTTTCAAAACGAGAGATGCCAAGCCCATGATGATCCTTTTCAAATCACTTGTTCTCTCTAGGCTGGAATACTGCTGTACATTAACATCTCCATTCAAAGCAGGTGAAATCGCAGATCTAGAGAGTGTACAGAGATCCTTTACTGCACGTATAAGTTCTGTCAAGCACCTCAACTACTGGGAACGCTTGGAAGCACTTGACTTGTACTCTTTGGAACGCAGGAGGGAGAGATATATCATAATCTACACTTGGAAAATCTTGGAAGGAATGGTCCCAAATCTGCACACAGAAATCACTCCCTACGAAAGTAAAAGACTGGGCAGGCGATGCAAAATACCCCCAATAAAAAGTAGGGGGGCCATTGGTACACTAAGAGAAAACATCATAAGTGTCCGGGGCCCAAAACTGTTCAACAGCCTCCCATCAAGCATTAGGGAAATTGCCAATAAACCCCTGGCTGCCTTCAAGAGAGAGCTGGACAGATACCTAAAGTCAGTACCGGATCAGCCGGGCTGTGGCTCGTACGTTGGACTGCGTGCGGCCAGCAGTAACAGCCTAGTTGATCAGGCCCTGATCCATCGGGAGGCCTAGTCATGGACCGGGCCGCGGGGGCGTTGATCCCCGGAATAACCTCCAGGTATCATATATATATATATATATATATATATATATATATATATATATATATATATATATATATATATATATATATATATATTATATATGCAAAACAACCATTGTGAAAGAGTAGTGAAATTCCAAGCGCTTTCGTGACTACTCACATTGTCAAGGAACTATGAAAGTAATACATCAAAGGAAGGCAATTAAAGGGCTTAGACTACACCTCACAGTCAACCCATACAACAAAGAAACACCTGACGCGCAACAATACCGGACTCATAAGAAAAGAGATTTTAACCGTCCAATTGATTTTCAAAAAGTTGAGAAAGTTGTATCAAGCAAGTCCATGGTTGACAGAAATATAATTGAATCTTGTTTCATAAAAAGCAGTTTTGAAAATAATATGAATATTTCCTTAGGTTTATATAAATTAGACTCATTTATAATTAATAAAATTTGGTTAGAGTTTAATAATACATTGGACAAATAATAAACCTTATTTCTTGGGTAGAATATTTTGTTAGTGGGATGTCGTGAGGACCTGTCTAGTTGGACCAGCGGACCTACTGCAGTGTTCCTCTTTTCTTACGAGTCCGGTATTGTCGCTCGTCAGGTGTTTCTTTGTTGTGGGGCTTGACTGTGAGGTGTAGTCTAAGCCCTTTAATTGCCTTCCTTTGATGTATTACTTTCATAGTTCCTTGACAATGTGAGTAGTCACGAAAGCGCTTGGAATTTCACTACTCTTTCACAGTGGTTGTTTTGCATATTTTAAAATCGCCTGTTTACTGTGATCTTATTGCATATATATATATATATATATATATATATATATATATATATATATATATATATATATATATATATATATATATATATATATATATATATATAAAAGACAACTCTCAAATCACACTCGGGGATGGGGGGGGGGGGGACTGGTGACTACGAGTGGTGGAGCTGCCTGGTTATGTAAACACCGTGTACATGACGTCACCCACACACTCAAGTCCCAGCAACAAACATCCGCCTCCAACTCTTCCCCACATTCCCTCGCGCCATTCCTTCCACAGCTCATACTAGTTGGTCTATGGAAACTTATGACTGATAGTGATGGTCCTTACTTCTAGTTTGCACTGCGATTCCAGTCTATACAGAACTGTGACTATGTTCGAGGGGTCTTCTACCCCGCAGCCCTGCCTGAATCAGGCTTTCCTGTTGGCCGCGTGGACAAATTAGGCTGTCTGTACAAGCGGCCCGCAGACACAGAAGCCGGATGATCCGATACTGTTACCAGGTAACTGCCCAGCTCAATGCAAAATTATCGTCGTTCCGGCAGTATGTCTGGTATCCGCTGGTATTATGTTGACACTTATGTGCCTGTGTCCACATGAAGCACTACACTACGTAAGGGTCATAAAGGGCCTAGGAAATAGGAAGTAATCAGGTGCGAGTCCTTTATCAGCATCAAACCCCCTCCCCTCCTCCCTTTCCTTGGAGAGTGTTCATACTTCTGAACGGAGTAATTACTGGACAGTAAAGATTTTATTGGGATTATCTCTGAGGCTTTGCAACCCACGTAAACCCTATTCCCACTGAGCTACTTGATCCCCTCTCTCAGGCCTAATGCACGGCACAGCAGTCAGCCAACACCCAGGCAACTACTTATCACTACGGGTACGAGGAAATATGCAGAAGCACAGCCTGGTTGACCAGACAAGCACCAGATGAGCCTGGCCCAAGGCCGGTCTCTGGGAGTAGAAAAACTCTCGGAACTCATCAAAAGCTCTTTTACCATAATGTTAAGGAGCTCAAAAAGTTGCTATGACACTTGTGCAACATCTGGATATCTTTATACCCAAATGTTGCACAATGCCTCGTTTATCAACTTATTTACTTTCTAAACTATTGATACTCAAAAATTATTATAGCAAAAGTATTTAGATAATTATTTTGCATCATCTAACACCAAGAAGTGAAAATCCGTGGGAAGGAGTGCAGGCAACTACGTTGGACCGCATGCTCCTGACACCGGGATGCTGGGAAGATGACCCCTAAACTACTACAGGTAAGCTGTCATGTGTGATGTATACTGTTCTACTATGATAGTGCTGGTGTCAACCCTGGTACCATCTAATGTTCTACCATGACAGGTTAGGTAAGATTCATCAGCAAACAGTACAATTTTTTTTTTTTTTTGACGTGGATCTTATTCATCTGACCCGCCACCGCTGGAGCGTTTGATCATCTGACAGACGCCTTCCGTTGGCCTACTGGTCTACCCCAGATGGTGCCGATTTCAACCTTCGCACCTGCTATTGTTCTGCCATGGCAATGCAGCACTCATGCCTGCTATTGTTCTGCCGTGGTGCTGCTGTTATCAACAACACTGGTGCCTGCTGTGTCCTGGCCACCACAAGCATTTCCGCAGGCGCGTCACTTCCTGCAGCGGCCGTGCAACTAATGGCGTCGCCATACAAGGAAACTATTATGAAGGAGTACATATCAGATGCAGACATCACCACATCCCACAGTAATCCAGGTCCCCTATCTCACACACCAGTCATCACTAACCGGATTACTTCTACTCTCGCAGCACTGCCTGCAGTTACACTTCTTTCCCATCTGTTTTACCATCCTTGCCTCAAAGGTCTAAAATAAATAACAGCCCTTAAATCAGGATAGGAGATAGTTCAGCAGACAGTTGCAGTGTGGACCAAGTCCTCTGCCATTTGTCTTTTCCATGCACTCTCATGACCATTTTGTCAGGAATGTATATCCTTGATATACATCTGATGAGTTCGAGAGGTTTATACTCCCGAAGTCCTGCCTTGGGCCAGATTCGTCTAGTGTTTGCTAGGTCAACCAGGCGTTGCTGTTGGTGGCACGCTGGTCCACATATCCACTACAACCTGTTTTATCTGATAGTGTTTCTGATATGTGGTAAGATGTTGAATAGTCTGGGGCCACTAACGATGATACAATATTCTCTTACTGTGCACACTGGGCTTATTTTACACTTCCTCTCACTACCAGTATGTTAGGAAAGTGTGCAGATTTAGTACTAGGCCCTTAAGTAT